GGGGGGGGGGCGCCTCTGCTGCCAGCTGCCAAACTGCAGGTGCTGGGCTCCCCTGCAGCTGGCACGGACAGGACTGGCCCTGGGACGGGAGGTTTTCAGGGGATGGATCACCATTGCTGAGTGACAGTGGCTTTAGAAACACCCTGGATAAAGACATGGCCTTTCTAAAGCCAGCCTGCCAGCACCTGCCCCCTGTGCTCACCTCCTCCACACACGCAGGAGCTGGCTGCAACACAGCCCTAACAAGCATCTCCAGCACATTTTGAGCTTTATTCCACCAGGAACCTGCGGCAGGGACACAAGTGTTGCACAGAGGGGATTCTGGGAAGTTACATTAAAGCAGGGAGACAGCTGCTCTCCCAAGGACGTGCTGGGTTTTATCTTGCCAATGCCCAGGTGAAGGAGCAGCCTGGGGTCTGAGCCCCGCTCTGGGCAGTGCCCAGCTGTGCTGTGGGCAGCTCTCAGAGGGTCCAGCTTCTTTCCTTTACAGGAAAGTAACCTTGGTGACACCAAGCTGCTCCTGTAAGCACTGCCCTCGTCGCCCAAGAAGACAACCACGCCATCCACCTTGGTAAGTTTTTAATTGCACTGTGAGCAAACGGCACATTAATACCAGGTCACAACAGAACTGGAACAAAATGAAGTGGTCTCAGCTTCGAGTGGCAACAGAAAGCAGAAAGTAGTGCTATAAACCAGCTTCCCCGCCTCCTCCCAGCTGTTCCTTCACTAGCGGTTCACTTCTGGGGAGGCACTGGCCAAACACTTGAGGGTAAAAACTTAAAAAGTGGGGGGAGTTTCCCTTAGACTGCCATCTCCTCCCTTGTCCTGGAAAGGGGAGACTACGCAGCCAGCACCACCCCAGAAGTGGTTCTGTACCCGTGACACTGCCACGCAATTCCCCTTCAGCACAGCAGGGACGCTCCGAAGTGACACCAGTTCACAAAGGTTTCCCTTATCAGGTCAGCCTGGGGGGGTGGCCCTTAGGGGACGCCTCGAAGGTCAGCAGCTCGTCTAGCTCACGACCACCCACACCAACAGGAGTCAGCTGAGGCACCGCGCGGGTCTGACAGCACCGGCACAGAAGCAGGGTCAGGCTAGGGACAGTGACAGTTACAGATCCAGCCATCAGTGCGGCAGCAGTTGGGTACAACTCACTAATCAAACAAAACTACAGCGACGTGCCCTGACCGGCTGGGTCTCCAGGGACACAGGGGGTGCTTCACAGTGCTGCTTCAGGTCCCCTCGCCCTACTTCCCCGACAGCTGCTCATAGAGCTTCGGCACGTAGTCATCCCACTCCGCCTGGTAGCAAGTGCCAGCCACCGGCACCCCCAGCTCATACTTGCTGCGGAAAGAAGCCACCTTGAACTTGCCTCTTTTGTCACCAGAGCGATTAGAGAGGATGGGCTCGTTGCAGGTCAGCTGCTTTGGCTGCTCGTACACCAGCCACACGTAGCGGTGCAGGCCTGCGGGGAGGAGACAGCGTTACAAGCGCCCATCACCTGCGACTCCTGGTCATAGGGTTTACTCTGAAGTGAGGAGCGCAGGGAAACAGACACCCGCGCTCTCCAGGGTCAGACAGCTCGGTATGATGGAGCTAAAGGAGCTTAGAGAAGACACACTGGATATGCTCGAGCGGCTCACGTCCTGCCTAGGCAGCACTGCCTACCACGTGCAGGCAGAACAGCACAGGCTGTCACCGGGCAGCAAGGGCACAGTGGCACTATGAGCCTGTGCCGGCTGTGGCTCTGCACAGGTGTGCAGGCTCCCCTGCAGGGGCTGTTTCTGCAGCACCGCACCCTGTTTGGCCATTTCCACAGCACCCTGCAAGCGGGCAGACGGCTTTCTGCAGGCCTCCCTACCCAACCCTGCGCATCACGTTCCATCCACGCACTCAGCAGGCAGGTACCGACCTGTTCCCTTGGGCGGCCCAGAGCCAACATAATCCGACAGCACAGTCCCGCTGCCCACGTTGTTGCCTTTCATGTTGGTCACCAGGAAGTGATGCCATTCCCTGAAAGAAAAGAAAACCAATCAGACTGCATCACCGCCCCAGCCAAGACCCTTCACTACTCCAAGCTGCTGCTTTTCCATAAGGCTGTCAGCAGAGGGTAAACTTCTGGTCTGCCAAACCCAAAGGCGCCAGTTCTACAGCCTGTCAAAACACACTGTCATCCTGCCTTGCAGCTCTGGAAACCCAGAGCCTGACCTCTAAAAGGTAATATTCCACACACTTCTGAGCTGGATTTGGGAAAGGTGAGCTGGTCCCAGATTTAAGACCCCATTGCTTGCACATACAGACCTAATTCCAACTCACACATGGGCCAAATTAGAGCAAGCAGCAGATGCTGTTCTTCTCCAAGCTACAGCACACCTCCCAACACCCCTGGCAAAAGCTGCTGCTGCTCCCCACACTATCCCTGTCTCAAGGAGAGATGCAAGGACACTGTTTCTATCCCAAGCCATAGAGTCACTGCTGCACCTTTGGGGGAGCACATTCCCAACCTCCTTCTAAGCCTTTGCTCTGACCAAGAGCTCCACTTTCCCCGGGCAAGATCGGGGCAAGCATCTCGCCCACGCCCATTACCTGAACTTTGGGTCCTTCCTACTGGGAGCATCTGGGTCTGTGAGAACCAGGGTGTAAAGCTTCTGGGGATCACAGCCATCCCACTCGATGCTGGTGGGGCGATGCTGGACCTGCAGCGA